ATAATAATTTAATATATATTATATTCTATTATAATAAGTAAATGAAATCAAAATATTATTATATATAATATAAATTAAATATATAAAAAATTTAATATATATTCTATATTATTTTATATAATTATATAAATTATAATTAATATAATTTAATATATTATATATAATTTGTAATAATTTAATATATATTTTATATTATTTTATATAATTATATAAAAATAATATTTATTATAATTTAATATATTATATATATGATTTGTAATAATTTAATATATATTATTATATATAATATAAATATTTAATAATATTTAATATAATATAAATTAAATATATAAAAAATTTAATATATATATATATATATATTATAATTTCTATTTTAATTAGTAAAATAAAATATTACAATTATAATACAAGAAACTAATTAATATTTGATCAAAGGGTCAACATTACATATTATACTAATCGATTAAATATAAAATAATATATAACAATAATTTTCCTTTTTACTAAATGCGTGATAAAAGAATAATAATAATAATAAAAATAATAATAATAATAATAATAATAATAATAATAATAATAATAATAATATTGTTTATGTCTATCGTTAATTAACACGTAGTAAATACGTTCGATTGTACTTATTATACTATAAAGAAACATCTTGTTCTCTTCTTCATTAATTCAATAATTACTTTCGTTATAATTATTTGATGAAGACCAACTACGATGATCAATCGATCTTATTTACAACAACTGATCTTCTTCGTAATTATTATTATTATTTTTTTTTTTTGTTCTCTCATCGTTAATCGTTGAAAAATAATCGAGAAGATGGTTAATAAGCATTCAATTACAGCTGTCAACAACAACTGTTGCTTGTAATAATCGATTCTATCTAAATAACACATATATATATATATATGGTGCACACACATTGGTAATTTTTATGAGAATAAAATACTATGGGAAAATATAAACATTTTATTTCATTTAAATAGGTTTTGATTAATTAATTATTTCTTTTCCTTGTTTTTTTTTTTTTTTTTTTTTACTTACTTACTTACTTACTTTTGATCTATGAATATCATTCTAATTTTTATTTTATCTTCCGAATGTATTTATTTTTTTTTTTTTTTATGTATCAGTGAGATAAGTAAATAAATAAATTGTCGAGATTATCAAATTTAAAATGAATACATAAATCTTGTATTTCTTTTTTTCTCGATTCATGATTGACCTAATTTATTTCACATTAATGTTATTTGAATTGAATGATAAAAAAATCAGAAATACAAAAATTTCTTTTCCAAATTATTTTCATTTAATATACATACTGTCATAATTATCGGCACATATATATATATATATATATATATACATGTGTATGTATGTATGTATGTATATATGTATGTATATATATGTATTTATGTGTGTGCTTATGTATTGTTTAATCGTCTTACTAATTAACATCGTTTAAATTACCACTTGAAGTGTAATCGTGCAATTATTAAACCACGACCAGTTCGATTTTTTCTCGATTATAATTTCTCTCATTTATCTAATTAACTTTGACCGAACCAATTTGTTCGGATCAAGTATTACGTAATTATTATTATTATTATTATTATTATTATTATTATTATTATTATTATTATTATTGTTTTTTTTTGTTCTGTAAGAAATATCTTCTTTTTTATAAAAAATCATTCGCGTTGGATCACAATTGATATTATTATGTGTGTGTGTGTGTTTTTTTTTCAAAATAAAATTTATATTATAATTATTTTCTTTAACCAAAAAAAAAAAAAATAAAAAAACAAGAACAAAAAGAAACCTCTCTTCCTTTCCCCCCCCCCTCCCCGATCAAAAAAAGAAACAAAAATTCTTTGAAATTAATAATTATTGTTAATTAATAATTTTCTATTGATTTTTCCTTCTTTTTTTTTTCTAGATTTTTTTATTTTATTCGATTCGCACACATCCACACACACACACACACAAAAATTGGTTTGTGTTAAAAAAAAAAAACAAAAAAAAAGAAAAAATGAAACAAAAATTCTTTCTAATATTAATGATATTTTTGATTAGTCTTTTTTATTTTTTATTTTATTCTATTTCCACACACATACACACACAAACACACACACAGAGAGCGACACAAATTGATTTCCTTTAAATTTTCTTTCTTCTTTTTTTTTCTGTACTTCTCATTTGTCATTTTAAATTGCAATATAAAATTTCTTTTGTAATAAATATATAAAATAAAAATAATAATAATATAGTTATGATATTTATATATACATTTAGTATAATAAAATGGTTAGAGAGATAGAGAGAGAGAGAGAGAGAGAGAGAGAGAGACAAAGAGAGAGAGAATATTTTTGATATGATCTATAATATGTAGATCTAACGTAGTTGATAGGATAGATCGCGTGTTTTTCTTGAAAAACTAACTGTTCGTACGTTATTTCTCATTGAACGATACCAACACGGATACACATAAAATTGAGCTTTAGTTCGTTTCCGTAAAATTGCTCTAGAATGAAGAAGAATGATGATGATGATGATGATGATGATGATGCACCAACGTCCTCAATGTTTCATTACAAAGAAAAAGATATAAAATTGAGTACGAGTATAATAATATAATAATTGTCTCTAATTTCTTTTTCACGCTTTTAATGTATCAACCTCACACACACACACACACACACATATATATATATATATATATATATATAATTAATTATGAATTATTATTTTTTACTTAAATATTCTAATATTAATTTAATTGATAATTAATTTTATAATTATTATTTTAATATAAATAATTATTATATTAAATTTATTTATTTTATAATATTTTTTTTTAATATTTATATATTTTATTATATATTTATTATATATTTTAAAATTATTTATTTAATATTTAATTTAAT